CTGCCCCCACACTGCCCCCACACTGCCCCCCACACTGCCCCCACACCCCACACTGCCCCCCACAGCCCCACACACTGCCCCACACACTGCCCCCCCACAGCCCCACACACACTGCCATCACAGCCCCACACACTGCCCCCACACACTGCCCCCCACACACTGCCCCCCCCCACTGCCCCCACACACTGCCCCCCACACTGCCCCCACACACTGCCCCCCACACTGCCCCCCACACTGCCCCCCACACTGCCCCCACACTGCCCCCACACACTGCCCCCACACACTGCCCCCCACACACTGCCCCCCACACTGCCCCCCCCCACACTGCCCCCACACTGACCCCCACACTGCCCCCCCACACTGCCCCCCACACTGCCCCCACACACTGCCCCCACACACTGCCCCCCACACTGCCCCCCCACACTGCCCCCCACACTGCCCCCACACTGCCCCCCACTGCCCCCACACACTGCCCCCACACACTGCCCCCACACACTGCCCCACACACTGCCCCCCACACACTGCCCCCCACACTGCCCCCCCCACACTGCCCCCCACACGCCCCCCCACACTGCCCCCACACACTGCCCCCACACACTGCCCCCCACACTGCCCCCCACACACTGCCCCCCACACACTGCCCCCCACACACTGCCCCCACACACTGCCCCCCACACACTGCCCCCCACACACTGCCCCCACACACTGCCCCCCACACACTGCCCCCACACACACACTGCCCCCCACACACACTGCCCCCACACACACTGCCCCCACACACTGCCCCCACACACTGCCCCCCACACACTGCCCCCCACACACTGCCCCCCCCACACTGCCCCCCCACACACTGCCCCCCCACACACTGCCCCACACACTGCCCCCCACACACTGCCCCCCACACACTGCCCCCCCACACACTGCCCCCCCACACACTGCCCCCCACACACTGCCCCCACACACTGCCCCCCACACTGCCCCCCAACACTGCCCCCACACTGCCCCCCACACACTGCCCCCCCACACACTGCCCCCCACACTGCCCCCCACACACTGCCCCCCCCACACTGCCCCCCACACACTGCCCCCCACACACTGCCCCCACACTGCCCCCCACACACTGCCCCCCACACACTGCCCCCCACACACTGCCCCCCACACACTGCCCCCCCCACACACTGCCCCCCACACACTGCCCCCCACACACTGCCCCCACACTGCCCCCCACACACTGCCCCCCACACACTGCCCCCCCACACTCACACACTGCCCCCCACACACTGCCCCCCACACACTGCCCCCACACACACTGCCCCCCCACACTGCCCCCCACACACTGCCCCACACACACACTGCCCCCACACACAGCCCCCCACACACTGCCCCCCCACACACTGCCCCCCCACAGCCCCACACACTGCCCCCCACACAGCCCCCCACACACTGCCCCCCCACACTGCCCCCCCACACTGCCCCCCACACACTGCCCCCCACACTGCCCCCCACACACTGCCCCCACACACACTGCCCCCACACTGCCCCCCCCACACTGCCCCCCACACACTGCCCCCCCACACTGCCCCCCCACACTGCCCCCCACACT